GGGGGGGGGGGGGGCGGTTTTGGGCTGATTCCCTTACGGGAAATCCGGATAGTGTTGTGTGGTCACAGACAATGCGGGCAATTCATATGCAGGCGTGCTTACAGCTGAATTCCGTTCTTCATGCCGTACGGCGAGCAGAGTGTAACAGTTCAAGCGGTGATTCAAGTTTGATGGAAATCGTTGAGTCTCATGCACAGAACAGTTCAAGCGGTGAATCAAGTTACATGACATCGTTGACCAGCATGCAAACGCACGTACGTAATTGATCAACGTATCTATTATGCACCCCATACCTGGTGCTGGCGGTCGATGAGCACTGCCAGCCGCTCACGTACACCGTTTCGAGGTGTGGCGCCATCTCGATCACCTTCAGACGGTGACAGTCAGGAATGAGGACACAGCACAGGCAAGGGTCAACAAGGATGGCACAATAAGCGCTACTTTGTTCGCCGTTGAGGTATTGAGATCAAGCGCAATTTGTGGTTTCGATTTTTTCATAGATGGCATGCATCCGCACAACTATCACACACAGAAGTTTGCATGTTTGTTGAAGACTCCACGTCATGCGTCAGGGATGCGACGCCTCGATCCAGTAGTATTCCCCACCGCACCACCGCATACGATTATCTGGTAGATGTTGTGGCTGCCGTTCATTTTGGTTGTGGGCAATCATGGCAGTTCTCGTATAGAGATGTTTCTCGTTGCTCACGAAACATGTCAAAATGATCAAAATGATCAATCGTAGTCTCAAAAACTATCTCAAGTTGTCCCGAAAAGTATCTCAAATATTTCTTCACCCACACTACTGTTCCATCATCAACGTGATCACCTGGACGGGGTCCAGCGCCCCGAACGTATGAGAGAAGTCTCCGAGAGCATGCTTCGTCTCCAGCAGTTCCCACAGCTTTCGCGCCTGAATTTTCATTTCGTCGATGCGCACCAAAAAGACTGGTGTAGTCATGCAGCTGAGTAATCACCAGTAGAGCGAAGCGAAACTTCAACCTTACAACAAGCAAGCCTGAGCGATGCAAAAAACTGGCACGCCTTGCGCAAAACATCCAGTACTCACCTACCTGTATGTCTGAGGGATATGTCTCCGGGAGGGTTCCGCGAAGGGAGACCACCTCCTCGGCGCTGAATGGGCGCTTGGTGTACCGAAACCGAGGGCTTCCCCACCAGCGCTTCGTCGCCTCCACCTAAATGACACGGAGATCAGGGCTTAGAAGCCTGAGATTGCTGTTGTACAAAAGATACCCCAAGATACGATCAAACAAAAGGTATCGGTTGAAGGAGTCTCACCCCTCTATCTGTTCGCGGAAGGCAATGTTAACGTGGCGTTCAGGCACACGCGCACGTACGGACAAAGAGCAGAGGGCCATAGCACGCACTGGTGGTCGCGCGTGGTTTGCGAGGCTATCATCGAGACGATTTTTTGTGTCACACTTCTCCTGGGCGGCAGTCTATTCCCCCCTGGACTACTAGTATATTGACGCACTATCAGCCGGAGTTTTAAACAGGAGGAACTTCTCCACCTCTCCAACTGCGTGGTTGCCTTCCAATTCCCGACGCGAGAAGGGTTCAGCAGTCCCTCCCCTCTTTGTTTCGTGTAGTTGAATGTCAGTTGTTAAGTCCGTATGATGAGGCTTTTGCGCCGCTGTAGTTTTTTCGATTCGGCAAGTATCCCTCCCCCTTGAAAGCAACGTAGACAGACCTAGCTTGAAAAATTCGACTCGCACTTGTTCAGCTCTTCTTATGAAAACCAGGCTAGCTCGTAGGGTAACCTCAACAAAATCGTCGTCACGTTCATCGCAACGAACCGGTTGTGAGAACATGTAGATGTAAGATAAATCATAGATAGACGACTCTCACATAAAGCAAGCATTGTTCGGGTTGATGTCAAACCCAAAGGAAGAGATGCAACTTCAACCCAATCTTCAAGAAACGAACAAAAAAAGGAACGACTCGTCGAGGTGGGGCCGAGACAACAGCGTCTTACCCGGCACGCTGCAGCATCTGACGACGAGCAATCGTCGTCAAAAGTTAACAAGTCCATGTTATGGCGGCGCAAGACATCTCTGTCGCAAGCGCCCACGCCCTCGACGGTTGGATCGTTCAGCGCAAAAAGCCCCGAGAAAGAACTGGTTCTGAGTTTTCTTGTTTGTGAGCTGATCTTGAATTCGTCAACAAACTGCTACGGCTTTGAAAGGCGTGGTAAGAATCGACATCTTCATACGCGCGCCCGGCGGGATCCTTGGCGGGGACCACTGTACGCACGCACTCCCTGGCGTGTTTGTACGACTTCCGCGTCTTAGAGAACTGCAGTTTCCGTTCAAGTTCCGCGTGCTCCCCTCTCTGAAACGTACGATACTTCTACAGCAGTAGTACCGTGGCCCGCGAACGAACGCGTTGGAACAACCTCTCTTTACTACACGCCGACGCCGGGCGTGTAGGAAAAGCTACCAAGGGTCATTTCTTTGTTGGTGTGGGTTACGGAGGCGCTTTGAGGAGCAGCCCCCTTGTACAACCTTGGAGTCTGGACGTCTGAAATCCTTCAACTAGAGCTGGAACCCGCTCGACACCGTCCGTTGAACTTTGTCAGGGCTGTGCCACAAGGCCAGACGAAGAAAAAACAGTTCTCAAGGGACGGTGTTTCTACAGTAGTAGACCCACACACCGCCATATACAGCCGACAACCTCCGTAAAGTGATGATTTGGCATGAGCGTCAGTCTCTCGTGCCCGGTGCGAAGCAACCAACCCAAGATTCCTAAAATTGGTTGGGCTTGACGTTGGATCAACTGCTGCGCGTTCCGCTCTATTTCCAAAACAACAGTCTAAACGCAACCGCTCAGCAACTTATAGGCCACGCCCATCGACCACGCTTCTTGATAAGCACCCCCCCCGGCCTCACATCGTGGTTGAACGTTTTGGCATGGACTTGCGCTCCGTACGACTTGAGGTTATGCCCGAAGAGCTGCTGCCCGTACATCGACGCTGGAGGCATTGTGATTATCAGTCGATCAACCTCTTCCAATTTCAGGACTGCGGTGAAACTCTCTTGGGTTGTAAACGAGCAGGCTTGGCCTCTCGAAGGTAGTAGTTCGATCGATGGGTGGTAGAAGGCTGTCACAGGGGGTCGGGTGTCGTTGTTTTGGGCGATGTCTGGATGCTGATGACGCGCTGAGGTGTGCGGAGAATTTGAGTGCTTGAGGCCTTCGAACGGCAACTTGAACACTCCGGTCAGACCAAGCGGCGAAATAGGTGTCGATTCAATCCAGGGCACCGGGCAACCGGGCACCGGGCACCGGGCTAGACTTTTCCCCCGTAGGCGATTTTCTTCGCGATTTAGATACACCAACTTTTCTTGTTACCTATTTTCAGCATAATGGCCAAACTCGACCACAATCATACGAGGCAATCGCCTACGGGGGAAGAGCCTAAACCGGGCAACGAGCATGAAGCACGGAGCACGAACAACACCTGCCGCCAGCGCCATGGAGAACGAACAACACAGGACCGCCAGCGCACCAGTGCCCACCTCCGGGAAGAGGGCATTAACGTTGATAGTATAATGTAGCCGGCCTTCACAGCTGAACCTCCCCGTGCTCATTGCAATATTCTTTCCCAGAAAACGTGTGACGCGGAGACGCGATAGGCCTTTGCTCCATCGGCCGTTTTATTATCGATTTAGATACACAAACGTTATTTCTATACCTATTTCAAGTAATTTCACCTTATTCTCCGTGATACAAACAAAACGGCCGATGGAGCAAAGGCCTAGGAAACGCGGATGAAAACAGCACGAAGGGAGGGCGGAGATACAACATTCCGCTTTTTTTTCAAGGGAAAACAACAGCAGCATGGTCATTTTCTAGAAAAACTGCATGATACCCAAGGACTCGAGACAGGGGGTTCAATGGGTGTTTTGAATAAAGCAGTTGTGGTAAGTGTCAGCAGCAGGAGCAGCAGCAGCGGCAGCGGCTTCGGTATATCTCGATCGCGCGCGTCTACAGAGATCTCTCGTCCAAGACACTATCGCCACCCGAAACACAACCCTCCGAGATGGATATAATAAGTGCTCTGTCCGCCTACGGGTGGGTACACATCACATTGTCTGATCAGCATCGCTTTGACAACACTGCCTGCCTCAAGACGAGGGAGATATCACACGACGGCCCATCCACGGATGGATGGATCTATCTGGTGATCTGCCGTACGCATGCACGTCGGTGTGTCCAGGCATTGAGAGTTAATTGCCCAAATTCGGCCTGTTGCAAAGCCAAACGCACGCAGGGTACATAAGTTTAACACGCGAGCAAACGATTGTCAGAACCCGACTGGCTAGCTACTTGTTCTCAATGGGTTTCAAATCAGAAACAGAACAATCTCTCTAATAACCATATCTGTCGGTCTGCGTTGTTCCCCCCCC